GAAATATTATCGAGGGGAATGGGATTAAAGCCCATAGAATGACAAACCACCATGATGGCAACCCAACCTATCTGGACAAACCACCAGTGTTAGGTTCAATGGGACAACCGAATTGTGGGGGGGTCGATGGGATCACTCGAGACCGATGTCTCTTCACATTCCTATGATAAGAATGATACAAATTGGGAAGGTTGAGTTTATGCTCTTAAAGATTCTCTTATCTCCTACGAGAGTGGAGTATATTGAGATACTCTCAAAGAGAAATCTCCTATATCAAATATGAAATGGGCCGCTTCTATGAGAATGACATAAGGGTTAGTTATCTAGAGTATTTGATGAAATCTACCAGGTGCTGTCCCAGGGCCTTAATGGGCGCAACAAATGGACTAATGAGAGAGAGAGGGGATGCTGCGTGAGTACTATTGTCTTGGTGTATACAAAAGCTGAATAGTTCAAGACATCGCATTCACTGTTTAGCAAGTACAACCGATAGTATTTCACTACGGAAGGTTCAAAGGTAAAACTACCTTTCCGGATACAGTAGACTCTCGATGAGTAAATTTTGCATTGCACATCATTTGCATACAATGCATTTAGTTGCATGAGATGCATTTAGGTTCACCTAACTCAAGGCCCTATTTTGATTCTTGTGGGGGATTGTTGGATTTGAGTTTATTTGATAGAATCAAAACGGGCCTAACCCGTGAGAAGCCCGGTGCGTGGAAAGTTTTAAATCTGCAGAATATTGAGAGAATATTCTTGTTTGAATTTGAAATTCAAATTGGATTCAAATCCGCAGAAAATCTATCAAATATGATTGAGATAAGATTGAGATAATATCAAGATAAAATCAAATTTGAATTTTGAAATTCAAATTGATTTATTTTGAGATTCTCCCATCTACTATAAATAGGGGTCTTGAGTTAGCTCATAAATCACACAGAAAAGAAACAAGCATTCTAGAGAAAAAAGAGCATTCACATATTTGCTCATATCTCTCTCTGAGTTCGTTTGGTATTTGGAAAGCTTCTTCCAAATACGCGGTCGTTGTATCCTGGGAGTTCACCGTGCTCCAATAGCCTCGAAGCTTAAGAGGTGGCACGGAAATCGAACTTAAGGAAACTGTGTTTCACAGGCCTCGACAAAATATTCTTTTAATTTCAGGTACTTATCTGGAATCACTCGAATTGCCGGAATTTTGCTGTCGTCAACAACCGTCGTCCCCAACAGAGGCAGGTCGGAGATCAGCTCAACCATGAATTGTAAAGCTCATAATATTTTCTAGATACAACTTATTACTGATTTTTTTTCACAAATTAATTGAAATTAATTTTATATTCCTTGTTTCATAACACCATATCATCCACTGAATTCTATAATCTATATTTCTAAAAGATGATGTATGTATCCAATTGTGAATAGTAAATTAGTCAAAAGATGGACAAACAAACCCTCTGGACAATAGAGAAGGCTAGGTGTAACGAATTTGTAGGCAAAAAAAGACAACCTACTTGATTTATTTTCAATAATATCCATGAGAATAAAATTCTAAAACAGTTAAAAATATAATTTCCTTGACTTATATGCATCTCACAGGTGTCATCGTATCATAACCTTCCATTTTGAATCTCAATTTATCTCAGCCGTCGGATCAAGTAAAATACGACCGTTATAGCATCCGAGAATATAAAATCCCTAAAACAGATGAATGTAAAGACGCTCCGCCCCCTCTCTCTCTCTCTCTCTCTCTCTCTCTCTCTCTCTCTCTCTCTCTCTCTCTCTCTCTCTCTCTCTCTCATCTCTGTGAATTTGAATCGAGCTTTTGAACAATGTCGAGGATGAGATCGAATCTGAAACCATCGCTTCCGAAATCGCCCATTCGTCTCCGATCTCGTCAGGTTCACCAATCGAATTCGTCTTCTCTCCAGACTCCGCCAGGTAATGGAGCTCCTTCTTCTTCTCGGATTCGATTCGCGATTCCATGGATTTGATTTTTCCGATGTTGTTGCTTCGATATCAATTCTTTTTCCCTATTGTGGAAGGTTCGTTGACAAAATCGCAGAAGGCAACGAGATTGTGGGACGCGGATTGTCAGGAGCCGAAGCTGAGGCCTGACTTTAACTCGATCTCGTGCGAGCTACGCACGTTGGCGAAGATGGTGAAGAGCGAGATCGGGGACGAGTGCGAAACTAGAGCAGCGGCGACTCCGATATTGAGCGGTTCGGTGCCTGTATTCGAGAGGGGGAGGTTGTACGAGGAATATTCAGCCAGGAGGAACGAGCGGTTGAAGAGGAAGAAAGCGATGGAGGAGACGAGAGGGACATCGTACAATCTAGGAGTAACGCACGAGCCAACGGCAACTAAGAGAAGAGGAACGGCTAAGAAACAGCAGCTTGAGAGCCTGAAGAAGTCGGTGTCGGCTGCGTATGAAGAGACGGCGCCGAGGTATATGCTGAGGAGCATGGCTAAGGAGAACAAGAAACCGCCATTGCCGATTGTAAGTGCGATTACAACTAGAAGGGGTCGGAGGATCTAAGAGAGAAACCTAAGGATGCGAGAAAAGGCAATTGCTGTGTTGCTTTAAGAGACCATGGTTTTGATTTTCACAGCATAATGTTGATTTTGGTGGATTTGGTTAGGCCTTTGCTTCATGATCCATGAAAGCTTTCTTCTTTTTTGTTTTTTCACTGGATATCATGCCATACAATGCGAATAGCTAAATACTTCTTTCTACATGCTATATTTCTACATTGCTTCCTATGGATTTTCGTAGCTATGAAAAAGAGGATTTAGTCGTCGAATGAAACGTCCCCCCACGCGTTGTCGGTCTCTTCAGCTTCTTCTTCTTCTTCTTCTTCTTCTTCATCGTTTTCTGCTTCTTCTGCTTCAAAATCCTGTGAATTAACTCGAAGGTTGATCAATTCCTTCTGCTTGAGTTGAGAAGCAGTGGTTTTCTCAGAGTCTGCTTCTTCTTCTTCTTCTTCTTCTTCACCTTGGAGGCTCTGAATCTCGGCCACAACTATGGCTGTTGACTTATCGTCGGTGTTGACTGAAACATCTTCCAGGGGTTCTGTCTCATTATTCTCTTCCTCTTCTCCTGTAGCTTCACTTAGATCTTCTTCCACACGGTAATAAACCTGCAGACAATCCATATGTCACGGGTCCACAATAACATTTTGGTGACGAATCGATTCCTTCTACACGACTTGTTTCTAGGAATCAAAATAATATAGGCGTATACATCGTTCGCATTACACTTGCCCAAGAGAAGAACATTGGGACAGCAAGAGGCGAATGAATTGAGAGGGTGATTGATTTGGCATACCACGCAAGTCCGTGGAGGCGAGAGCACTTTGAAAGAGTTTGGACGGTTATTGAAATTTGTCTCGGGCACTCCTGGTATCCCCTCAGGGGAAGTGAAATGCTCTACATCGTGGCCGACCTATCACAAATGTAACGATTTATGTTAAGAGAAAAGAGACTCGAGTGTTTATGAATGGAAAAGAGAAACATCGGCATCACTATCTCGAGATATCTTATCCTCTTAGCATGTGTATATTGTGTATCAAGCTATGTATCTCTCACCCTTCCTCGACCACCGAATTCCCAAGCATCGCTATCCAGTGCCACTTTGTACTTTCCTGGTAAATCGCATCCAACTTTGTACCTGAAAGTTCCATCATAAAAGCAACATTGATTCCGTGTTAATCTCTTAAGTACAAGGATGTCACCGTTCGAAAAAAAGAAAGTTCAAACAAGGTATGAAAAGATCTTCTGTATACGAACCCTTCGTATGTGATCTCTGGATGGAAATTGAAAACAAATACCAAATCCCCACGTTCGAAGACAATAACCTGCAAAATGAAATATCAATGTCTCATGGTAGTGATAACCAGAACAAGAAAGAAAGATGACCACTTTGGCTATCCGTTGGATATATATATATACATATGCACCTTGTCATCTTCATTTGCACTGCTAACAATCTGTTTCGCCGATGAAAGAAACGAATACTTCTCATCAAGTGCATTCATAGCTTTGTCAAAAGCATTCATGAACTGGAAAAAGCGCCAATTAGAAACAAAAAATATCTAGAACACATGAAAGATTTGTATGAACAATTAACTTGATCGTAGGGGACTTGACTATAATAAAGCAGGTACCCTCTGAATTCCTCTATGCAGCAGAGCAAAAGGATTAGTAAGAGACAAGAAAAAGCCCAACCTTGTACCTCAGGTGATCAGTATCCACAAGGTTCCATTGGCGTCTACATTTCTCATAACTCCAACCATTTCCTTCCCTCGGAAAATCTATCCATTCAGGGTGACCGAACTTGAAGAGTACATGCCACAAATTTCATAAAAAGAGTGAAGATGATGATTTTTCTTATTATTGAAGATAAAACCATACCCTTGTGCATTTCAAGGACCTTAATAACATTGTTTAACATTCATGTCTCGCCCAAGTTCCTAAGCGTAGAGCATAGTGCTTACTTCATTTCCCATAAAATTGAGATACCCTTCACCCCCTAAAGCCATTGTTATAAAATGTATCATCTGCAAAAACTCCGAGAGCATAAGAGAATAGAAAAGGAAGAGAGCATAGGTGAGCTAACGTTTGGTATTAACAATAGCAACCGCGAAATTACATAACAGAGGAAAAGAGCCTCATAACACACAAAACCAATGTCAAACCTTATGAAGCGCAATCCCTCGTTCAACGATTGGGGAAGGATCCTCTAAGCAGGACATGCCACTATACATCTCCTTGTCCATCAAGAAAAATGCAATAGTCTTGTCACCCACTATGGACTGCTAAAAAACAAAACTTATTCAGAAATCAATAGTAAGAACAAAACCGTGGAAAATGTAGAATTCACATGAAAATTTAGGGTTATTGTAGTAACAATGCATTAAATACACACATGATAATGCACCATCATCTTATCAGACCTGGTCATGACTCTCTGCGTATGAAATACACTTCTCAGTGTATCTCCTGTCTGTCAAACTCCATGAAATATCCTTCATAGACCACTCTGCATCACTCTTGTTCTTTACATAATCAATCCATTTGTCAGGGATGGCCATGGCTAGGCGGTAGTCAAAACCGACACCCCCCTCAGGAACTGGTCGACCAAGTCCTGGCATACCGGATACATCTTCAGCAATAACAGTAGCATCAGGCAAGATGCTATGGATGAGAGAATTAGCCAGCATCAAGTAGATCACTGCATCTACATCAGTTGCCTCACTGAAATACTCTTCGTAGTTTCCAGTAAAGGCCATGTTGATCCCATGGTGGTGATACAACATTGAAGTTACCCCATCAAATCGAAACCCGTCAAATTTGAACTCCTCTATCCACCATCTTAAGTTGGAAAGGAGGAACCGAAGAACTTCCCAATTAGCATAGTTGAAAAGTCTACTATCCCACAACTTGTGATATCCTCTTTCTCCTGTATGGAAATAAGAATCCTCTGAGTTTTGGCCTACATCGTAGCCATTCAGCCCGTCGGTGACGTTGTTACTTGTGTGACTATGAACAACATCCATTAACACTTGTAGACCTAAGCTATGCGCTTCGTCGATCAAATACTTGAGATCCTCAGGTGTGCCAGACCTACTACTCACTGCGAAAAAGTTTGTCACGTGATACCCAAAAGATGCATAGTAGGAATGCTCCATGACAGCCATCAACTGAACTGTGTTGTAGTTATTCGCCTTAATTCGGGGTAAAACCTCATCAGCAAATTCTCTGTATGAATTAATGCGTGGCTCCGAGCTACTCATTCCTACATGGGCCTCGTATATGCGAGGTGCTTTCGGTTTGGGAGGGCGTGGGTAATTAAACTCATACCTGCAGGAAGCAAGTTGAAAGGATCAACAAAGCTATATTACACCAGAAAATTTCAAAGTGCAATCTCCAATAGCACTTATCTAAATGTGATCAGAACCCATTACTACTTCTGTGTGATTTTCACCTTTCCGAAGACGGGGGCTCCCAATAAACACCATCATAAGGTGCCGCAAACTTTGTTGAGTCAACAATGGCATATTTAATCCAAGCAGGAATTCGGTCGACCCATACTCCATTTCCGTTCTTGAAGCGAAACTTAACCCGAGAATTATGTGGAATTGCTGAACTGTCATCAACATCCGGCATCTTTATACTCCAACCCCCAAATTGATTCTTTTCCATCTTATGGTTGGAGCCATTCCATCCATTAAAATCCCCAATAAGTTCTGCCTCTCTGAAGAACAAAGCAAAAACCTTTTCGTTAGCAAAAAGGTGTTTTAGTAAGCAAACTCCCAAGGCTCATAAACTTACACAGCAGCAGGAGCCCATTCCCGGTACACAATGCCACCATATTCTCTGTTGAACCCAAATTTCAAGTAACCTGTAAAACATGGACTTTGGCTCTGAGGTCATGGGCCAAGAGATGGTTATATTAGCCTTAAACCACAAAAATCACCTCGAGAAAATTCTTCTAGACCTCCTTCATGCTTTTCAAAAAGCTTCTTCTGTTCCAAATATCTCGTCATTCTATACCTGAAGTGATCTTTGTATTTTTCCAGAGCTGGATCAACGGCCAAAATACCGATATTTTCAACGTCTTCCTCTGATAATGTCATCGCAGGACTTTCACCTCTCAAAACAGCAGAGAAGTTGGAACTAGAAACAACCTGCAAAACCAGTTACCATCTCGTACAGAAGCGACTACCATTTCTCCAGGATTCAAACTACACGTACCTTCAATGTTTTCGACAAGAAGGGAAATGCATGCTTAGGAAAGGCGCCGTCCCTACTAATTCTTGCAGCCTATCAACAGAGTTGATCAATTCAACACAAGAGAAAATTAACCAAACCAAAAGGTTGAAGAAGACCAAACAGAACACCACAAAGGTTGCTGAACGCTACTCGATCTCTATAGTACCGTGAAATCATCCAATATCAAGAGGCGCGCGCCATTTTCCACCAAATTTTGAGGATCATTGTCGTTCGACAATTCAAATTGACATAATCAATTCATAAACTACTAAATCAAAGCCAAATCTGAAAAGATTTTACTGCGAGAAAGCTAGGATTCAGTGATTCACCACGAATCCAATTCAAATTCCAAAACAAAAAAAAAAAGCATGATCGAAGCATAAATGCCGTGTCTGAAAGAATCATACAACATTCAACCACATTTTCCGAAAAAATTCATCAAACTCACAATTTCAGAACCAGAGACTGACACAGAACTCACCAGAACACAAAAAAAAAAAAACCCCAAAGAGCCTTTTACCTTAGCCCGATACTTGCGAGAAGACGAACTCGAGAACAAGCCAGGGAACGACAACGACGACTGATGAGAAGACGAAGAAGAAGAAAAAGGCGAAATGGAAAATCCCAGCGAATTCAGCATCTTCGTTCTCGTAGCTGAGCTCACATACCTTCTGTTGTCGTCTCCGTTCCCCAGGATCCATGGCGGTTTTAAAGCACTGCAAATGTAATAACAGCCGTTGATCCTATTTGATGGAGAGCGAATCTCATGCGTTGATTGGTTTGGCCCTACGAAACGTTTGTTCTCTTTAAATTATTGAACTCGACAAATTGGAAGAAGAAAAGAGTAATATTATCCTAATGAAGTGATCTTTTACGAATTGAAGCAAAGTAATATGCTCCACGTGAGGCTTTCCCGGCCGTTGAATTATTTTAAGTTCACCATCTTTTTATCAAAATTAAAGTAACTGTGTCATATAATTATCATTACCTGTTTTAATATTAAAAAGAAAAAATAACAAAACTGTGATTTAACCTTTTATTTATAAGAGATATCGCCAAAAAATCCTTGTATTCTTTCCATGATGAAAAAATTTTGTACTTTTTTCGTTATTAATTCAGCTTTGTATTTATTATTATTAATCCATAAAACCTTGAACTTTTTAAAAATTCACCCAAAAAATTTCGTACGTGACAATTTAAACAAAAATGATGATGGAGCAATAATATGCCTTTCAAATCATTCACACATCAGTATAATTATACCACATCATCATTTCAAATAAAATTTAAATTGAATAATTTATTTAGATTAATATATATATAAATTTATACATATATATATTAAAAATAAAATTAATTATAATTAATAAAACACACACATATATATATATATATATATATATATATATATATAATATATGTATATTATAACTAATACATATACATACCCAGATCGTCAATCGGCAACCAAGAGTAACTTATCGGTTGCAAGACTGTTTGTCGACATGAATTTGCGTTGTGAACCACGACGTAGTAATGCAGTACAACTTCCCCATGGGGAGGACTGAGGAGCACATCGTATCAGTTGGGGGATCGTCGGCCCGTTACAAGCCTCCACACGCGGTGGTTTGAGAGCCACCGAGGAGGAGAAGAAAGGAAGAAGGCCGGCGATGCAAAAGAGGGTTTCGGGAGCTAAGGAGCAGATTTGGGGGTTTGCGAGCTTGGTTTCTCCCTTGTGGTCGGCGCCCTTTATTAGGTCTTACCACATAGCCACAAAAAGGAAACTTAACATTTCTCACTTTCCATATCTTCCCTTTTGATCCCTACTTGCCTAAACCGAAAAGGAAGAGTGTAGAACATGCCTAAAACAAAAAGGAAACACGCCTAAGCTGTCTAATGGGCCTAGGGCCGAGATTTGGCCATGGGACAAAGCCTCAGACACGTCCATGAACTTGTCATGGACCATGGCCGAGGTTTTGGGCCAATCTCGGTCATGGGCTGTCCTAAACTGGTCTGGGCTAGTACGCGACTTGGGAGAGGAGCTCTGGGGTGCCAGGAAGTTGGGCTTGGGTGGTCCATGGTCGTCCGAGGTCCGTGGCCTGAGATGTCCCGTGCTGGAGCTTCTCGGGGTCCCGTGCGGAGTTTCTCGGACTTGCTCGGCAGAGTCTGTCGGGCTGGGCCGAGGTCTTCCGGGCTGGTGCGGACTTTCTCGGACGCGTGCGAGGGAGGCTTCTGAGCCGTCCGAGGTTTGCTGGGCTGGCCTAGACTTCCTCGGACGCGTGCGATAGGCTTTCCCGGGCTGGTGCGAAGTTTCTCGGATGAGTGGCTACCGCCGAAATGCCCCACTTGTGTAGAGATAGGTCATGACATGAAACACTGCCCTTCAAAGGTCCAAGCCCAGGAGAAGCCCCCTACACCTTCGACTGCCCTAGCTACGGATCAAAGTGAAAATTTCACTCAGCGCCGCACTTCTCAGGAGCCCAATGATGAAGGCCTTGTGGCCCTTACTCCACCCCCTTCGATTGATCAGGTAGTGTCCCTGACCCCCAATACAGAAAAATATATGTGCTGAAACAACAGGCTTCTCAGGTCGACAGTTGCCGATGAAAGAAACGAATACTTCTCATCAAGTGCATTCATAGCTTTGTCAAAAAGCTGGACCATGTGATGGGAAAGTATCCTAACGCTTATTCTGAATTTCTTCCACTTGGACCGTCGGATCACTCACCGACAATTGTGCATTTTTCGGATAGGATGAAGGTAAAAACACCCTTTAAATTCTATCATCATCTTATCACCTCATCTACTTTTGAGCAGGCGATTCAGACAAATTGGCAAGCGGGGTTTACTCACGAGCACTCACCAATATCGATTCACGAGCTCTGAAATTAATAAAGCAGCCTCTTCGGGTGTTGAATGCGACAAACTTCAGCCAGTTATCTCTCAAGGTTAAGGAGATTGGGAAGGAACTTGACATATTGCAGGAAGCCCTACTCTCAGAACCAACTACCGCCTTAGTTGATGAAGAGAGGAAGATGCGTGAGAAATGGTTGAAGCTTTCAGTTGCTGAAGAAAAATTCTATCGGCAGCGTTCTCGGATTACATGGCTCAGCCTCGGGGATAAAAACACTGCTTTTTTTCACAACACTAACAAGCTACGGAACTCCCACAACTGTGTCAGTTGCTTTGAGGACGAACACGGGAACAGGTTCACGTCACTACAGGAGATTGGGGAACATGCTGTTCGTTATGTTGGTTAAGTGCTCTATGATGTACTGTTTATGAGCTTTATTTAGATAATTTGATGTATTGATACTTTCTATAGTTTATGAGAGTATTTGATTCATTATATGTTCTTGCATACTAGATGTGTTATGAAATCCATGTATTGTTATGAACAATACTAAACTCCCTAGTCATGTATCATTGTGGGAATAATGATATACTAAGACTAGTATGATGTGTGATTGATGATCATGTAGATCATCATAGGTATTGGATACGATCACAATCATAGGTATTCGTTGGAGAACGGAATACTGGATTGACCCGCATGAGATTGTCACATTGACTAACGTCATGACTGGAATCTCATATAGCGTTTCCATGATTGGATCCTAAGACCTGAGATATCTACGGAATCCAACATGAGGAGTTGCGTGCTTTGATTACGTCAAACGTCCTGCATAACAGGAGGACTATAAAGGCGTGTATCAGGTACGAAACGAATCATGTGCTGGATTGTAGATAGCCAAGACGGGATTTGTACCTCTCGTAAAAGAGAGAGATATCGCTGGGCCCTCGTGTGAGCGAGACTGTAGAAATGTGTGGCCGCACTATAGACGAACGTCGTCTATTTCAGACAGTCGAACTCAGTGAACGAGAAAGCAATCGAATCAGATAATGTGGCTTGTCCATGCCTCATATTCGACATATGATATCGTGATACAAAAGGATCATCAACCGGAATCATCACTGGCATTCGTAAGATCACGAACAAACTCTATTCGAGATAGGTAGTTATAGTGTCTTGCAAGAGACCGCCTATGACTTGTATATCCGGAATAGAGATTTCGGGTTATACTGCTATATCGAATGAGCCTAACGGGTTACACACACAGGAAATGACGAATGTGCGAGAAGAGACGAGAAAATCCCGGTGGAG